CGTGCCATGCTTAGATTATATTTGCACGAAGGGTCATTCCGTGCCATGTTTTGATTATATTTGCACGAAGGGTCATTCCGTGCCACGTTTTGATTATATTTGCACGAAGGGTCATTCCGTGCCATGTTTTGATTATATTGCACGAAGGGTCATTCCGTGCCATGTTTTGATTATATTTGCACGAAGGGTCATTCCGTGCCATGACTTGAGAGTATGAGAGGGAAAGCCCAAAGGTTGATGCCGTGCACTTTACTTGATTACTTTTGGTGAGGATGAGAGTAAAAGCACGAAGGTTGATGCCGTGCAACTGTTGACTTTTCCTGCTCTCATTTATTATTGTTATTGCCCTGTTGCTTACTTAAATTGTTGACTTTATATCCGGAATGTATTTCCCCCCATAGTATGCTCTCACCCCTCTTAACTGTTTAATTTCTTTGTTCTTCCCTTTTATTGCATATATATATATATATATATATATATATTGAACTGCACAGGTTGGTTTGGTAGTCCTGTCTAGCCTCGTCACTACTTCGCGCGGGGTTAGGCCAGGCACTTACCAGCACATGGGGTCGGTTGTGCTGATGCTACACTTTTGTGCTCTTTTGCACAGATCACGGTACCGAAGCAGCTTTTGGACCACAACAGTAGGATATTGATCGGGAGCTGACTTCAGTCCAGGGACTTACGAGGTAGCCTAGCTGGCGTTCGCAGGCCGGAGTCCCTTTCTATGTTTTCAGTTTGTTTTCATTATACCGAGACAGACACTTATGTATTTCTAGCACTCTTTAGTAGTTCGTGAGATAGCGACACCAGTCTTGGGTAGAGAAATGTTAAACTTCCGCATTTTGGGTTTTTTTCAGTTATCTGAGTTTTAAAGACTTTCGCTTTTATTTAAATAACTCGTATTATTATTATGGTTGGGATGTTATCCGAAAATGTTTAAATGCTTGGCTTGCCTAGCTCCGATAGTAGGCGCCATCACGACTCCCGATGGTGGGAAATCCGGGTCGTGACAGTTTTCGTAAAGGTCAGGACAGAGTCCCGCCATACCAAACAATACAGTTCTAAATCATACTAACCAAACAAGCAACTCCGAAGCAGATGGAGCACACCATCATATTCCGCTGAGCTGATGGACTACGTGGAGGTCTCGTGACCTGTCTATCGGGACCTGCGGGCATGAAACGCAGCGTCCCCTGGCAAAAGGGACGTCAGTACGAATAATGTACCGAGTATGTAAAGCATATAAATAATTACATAACAGACATTGAAGAAATATAGAGTAAATGACTCGACCTGTAAGTGTGGATAGCTCTGTAATTCATGAAATAATTATAATGTCATGCATATGCGTATGAAAGTCATGTCGTGCATAGGTACATGTTTCATAAAATCATCAGGCCTCTGAAGGTATCCCATCATATCATCTCGACCACTGTGGGCAAAATCATCAACGTATACCAGCTGATCAGGTCGTGGTGCGTATATAACGCCGTAACCTTTTCTCATATCCCATATACATATATATACATACATATATACGCGTATATAACTGGTCATGGGTCAATGTACGTGTAAAAGAATGCAATGCATGAGAAGTACGTTAATAAAATCTCTCAGAATGTCATAAGACCATTATGCCTTTGAGTGATATCATGAAATAAACTTTATCAACTTACGTATTTTCTAAGTTCCATGAATAGACGATAAAATAAATAAGACATATGGGAATTCAAGAACATAGGCACCTCTAATATTTCTATGAATAGAGTCATTTATGGAAGTTGTGCATTTACTCATTTCGTTTGTGTTGTATAGATCATGCAAAAAAAAAAAAAGGATAGCCTTAACATACCTGAGTCAATTCTCTTAGCAATCCCTTTAACACACGTTAATTGCGACAACACGCAATGACAAGATCGGAGTAGGGAAAAATCCGTATGATATTCTTGAGAAAGATTGTACCGTACTCTATTATAATTGCAAAACCTCACTTTGATTTTAATTATTGAAGTCTTGCGTTGCTTAGATATATGCAGATGCATATGAAATGATCCAAAATAACGTGATGAAGTTCTTTAAGAGTCACAAGACTCTTAAGTGATAGATGATAACGTGAATTTGGATGTGAACAATAACGTTAGTTATATGACTTTTAAGTTTAAGTCTCTTAATTTTAATATTTCTTATGCAAGGGTGTGGGCCCCACTTTCTTAATGACGAAGCCACCAAAAAGACCCTCTTGATGCCACTTTATTCTATGTTTTTAAGAGTCACACTTCCATCAAGCCTTGGCTATCGCGTGAGGATCTGATCAATAATTAACCACCAATCATCTTAATTAATTGTTAATCTCCCCCTAAAATCAATAATTATCCGATTATCCACATAATTAATAACTATCTCAAATTACTTATTACTACTCACTTTAACACACCTTATACACCTTACAATCATGGCCATGTGGTACCTTGTATGGTATTAGTCCATAAATATCGGGTATTTCAGCTCGTGCCGTATTTTATCCGAAAATATCAAACTTCGACAAAATTTATTTTCTTTGATTTGCCTACCCTCTCACCTTCACGAATTTACTCATCACTTGTTTGAAATAGCATAATGCTTATAATCTCAAAATAATCCCATTCCCGAACTAATGTTGATTAACTTATGACAAAACTTTAACGTACTAAAATGCGGGATGTAATATCTCATTTTCGAGCTTTCATCAATTTACTTATTACATACTTTTACGTACAAAAATATGGGGTGTAACAGCTATGATTCCTCAAGAAAGTTGAAGGAAAGCTTGTTGGAGTTTCAGGAAAGCACATGGGTTGATGTTAATAATCATTATGAATAAAAAGTCAGAATAGAAGATGATCAATTTAGTTTTTTGGTAGTTCATAAATGTGATCTAAACATAGAAAGGTCAAACAATAACCTCGACACATAATGGAGGTCCTTTAGTGGATGATTCCAACCATATGCGTCAAACGAATGATCAAATTTTTGGACAACAAAAGGACGTGGAATTAGTGGTTATTAGTTGCTTGAAAGACCTGATCAGGGAACTCTAAGGTTTGGTGACCGTTTTTTTGCTTTTCTTCTATCTCAGCGATGGCTGGAATGGCCTTCAGTGCCAGATCAAATTCACATCATCACAGATCATTCCAACTACTAGTCCATTGGTGTGAGTAGGCAGAATATTGTTCGTCATTAGGGGCCTCTTCATCCCTAAGAACTTTTTCCTTGACATTGATGAGGTCTTCCACTGCTCTTTGAAGAGTCCAACAGTCTTCAGTATCATGTTTCAGAGCTTTAGAGTGGTATTCACATCTAGCATCAGCTCGGTGTGAGGGGGACTCGGGGTTTGGCCGGTTCGAGGCCACTAGCTGCAGCAAACCTAGCCTGATTAGCTTTTGAAACAAACTTGAATACGATTCTGCAATAAGGGTGAACAGATTCCTTCTGAGGGGATCTCTTGGGCGTGGATTGTATTGGGGAACATTTGGTTGGGGATTATATGGAGCTTGGTAGGCACGAGCATTTCTGGGAGGTGGAGCTCGATTTTGTGCATAATGTTGTGGCCGTGTATAAGGTTGCGCATTCATCACCGCATAGGGAGGCGGTGCCATGGCATAAGAAGCATTTTGATGGGGATAATAGTGTTGTGGGACCTTAGGAAGCGTATATGATTGGTGGAATGACCCGCGCCCCCCCCCCCCAAGCTCGAAGCCAACATGGCTCCCTCTTGCCTCATGTTTCTGTTTATCAAACCCTTTGAACCATTCTGAACGGCCTGTGATGTGGCCTTGTAAGGCAGCATGACTCAAGATTCGGCCCATTTTAAAACCATTTTCGACCATCTCACCAATTTTGATAGCCTCAGCGAACAGTTTACCCATAGCGGACATCTTGTTCTGAAAGTAGTTCGCCTCTTGGGCATGTAGGAAGACCGTAACCATTTCTTCATCGTCCATTGGAGGCTTTACCCCGCGATGGCTTGCTCGCGTTGTTTGACACCATATTCGCGGAAGCTTTCCGCAGTTTTCTTTTTCAGATTGTACAAAGAGTTTCTATCGGTAGCGATTTCAACATTATAGTGGAATTGGAGGACAAAATCTCAGGCCAAATCGTCCCACACATGCCAATGAGTAATTTCTTGATCCATGTACCACTCGGAAGCAATTCCGGTGAGACTTTCTAAAAAATAGGCCATTAACAGCTCCTCTTTCACTGGCGCCCCTCAACTGGTTGCAGTATCGTTCAGGTGAGCGATCGGGTCTCCATGCCCGTCGTACTTTTCAGAATTTTGCATCTTGAAGCTAGGTGGTAAGTGGACATGGGGAAACATTCACAAGTCAGCGTAAGAGACACTCTTTTGGCCGCTCAGGCCTTGTATACTCTTTAAGCTCTGCTCCAAGCATTTCATTATTCGAGTCATTTCCTCTTGCTCAGGATTCTTGACAACCTTTTCCTGCTCAACCGAGAAGTCACATTGTGGAAGCTGAGTAAATGAGTGTGGGGTCACATATGTTATTTCTAGTTGAAATTGTGGACCCTGAAGGGTAAACGTTGGAGTCTAAACATACGGACGTGGTATAGTTGGTAGTGTTGTGGTGCAAACTGGTGCTGCAGAGAACATTGCTGATGATGCCTTTGAATCCAATGCTCGGGGACGAACAACATAAGGCATTTCGGGACCGTTAAACGACATTGGAGGGTACCCGCATGGGATAAACGGGTTGGACATAGAGACGCTGGTAGCCCCACATGATCTCGGGATCGACTCAGGGAACCAAGGAAATGCAATCGGCGGTTCCCTACCACTAGATCAGGAGTCCCACATTTCCAACACGTGGAGACGTAGCATCCTATTCTCTTTAGCAGTTGCTGATTCTGGTTGTGGAATAGCCAGTGTCGGGCTATCCTCATGATGGATAACTGATAGATGGCTTTCGTAGGCCATCCCTGCCTTTGAATCTTATGAATTAAGGATGGGAAGCCAGATTACCAACAAAAACCAACCACCTAAACAAAACCTGGGTAATTTGCACACACAACAACTTTGTTTGTTTTGAGACATTTAACATATAGGAAATCGCACGTTGGGATGCAATGCACCTAACAGTTAAATGTTTCACCATGTGTTTGAACGATTATGTGTTTTATCCCTGCTTTAATTAACCTTTTTCACTATGTACCTCTTTTCTTTTTTATTTCACGTTTTTCTTGGATTTTGTCACTCTAACTTTTCTCTATTTTATTTTTGTTGTTTTTTTCCGCTCTTTGTTTTTCCCTTTTGTTTTTGATCACTCTTTGTTTTTCTCTGTCATTTTATTTATTGATAATGATCGCATCCTATAGGGATTGCCTACGTATCCTGTAACCGCATGAATCAGATCATTACGTAGTTTACAATACAAAAAAGAAAGTAAATAAGCTAACTCTTTTCTAATTTATTCATGAATCTCATTATTTATTTGTTTCTTTTTAGAATCATACCACAAATTCTCCTAACAAGGATTTTTTTTTGTGTTGGGGGGGGGGGGGGTGGAATTTTTGAAAGAAAACTTCTTAAGAAAATATTTTTGGATTTCGATTTGTTTATAACTTTTTATGTTTTTTTTTTGAAAATTTTGAAATAAAGACTTCTAAAGAAGAAAGAAATATTTTTCCATTTTTGATTGAATTTTTTTTTTAATTTTTGGGAGAAAGTCTTCTAAAGAAGGAAAATGCCATATTTTTTATTTTGATTTGATTTGTTTTATTCGAACTAAAAACTTCTAAAAAGAAAAAAATATATTTTTGGGTTTAAAATCGTATTTTTTTATTTGGGATTTTATAAGAAAAGACTTCTAAAATTTGGGGGCCGAAACCGATGAGGTTTGCCGTATCTCACATCCGTTGAGAATCAGACCTGCGTAATTTAGTCAATTTTGACACAACAGGAAAAATATGACTTTTGATAATGTTGGCTCATTTTGGAATGTCTTTCCTTTTTTTCTCAAAAATTCGACAGAGTTTCGGATTTTTTTTTTTTCAAATACCTGAATTTTCTGAAACGGGTACAATTTTCTCTCTCGTGCCTCACACTTGGTTTTTTCTTGATTTTCTTTCCCTACTCTAGAGGCCGTCAAGATGCAAGCTGAAACAAACAAATGCACAAGTAGCACGTAAAATGCATCAGGATGGTCATCTAATTTGGGTACACATGTCCTAGATGGACTCAACCCCTGTGTTAAGTCCCCAAAGTCAAATGCACGTGATGCAAACAAACATTCCTACTAGGGATCCGGCACGAGGCTATGTTATTCTAGGTTTGAATCTTGGGGTGTGTTGTTCTAGACCTGGCTTATCCGAGCGAACAACTCGAGCCGAGAGGGGGGAGGCAATGTACCAAAAACCAAAAGGCCATCCGGCTTTGTAACTGATCCGATCATCGTTCTAAATTAGGGATATATATGACACTCCAATAGAAAAGAAGCCATGCCAGTGTCCGCTTCCTAGAAGATTTACAAGACTCTGAGAGAAGAAGGGTGGTGTAACAGTTTATATATACAGTTCAAAGAATATTAAAGCGGTAAATGAGCGGCAATTAGCACATTAGGTCCAAACATGTTATATCAGTCAATCACAAGAAATCCAAGTATAACAGTTATTCTAAGCTCGAATTCTGAACCCTAAACCAGAAGTTTTGGGTTCTTTTTCCCAGCAAAGTCGGCGGAGCTGTCACACCTCCTTTTTCCGATGATAAGGGAGTTTTCTAATTAAAGTGACATTATTCAAAATAAAATTATTAATTTTTGCTGAGTCGCCAATTGGAACAATTATTATGGTATCACAATTCATCGGTTTATTTTAAAATCCCAAATCGAGGAAATTGACTCTATTTATGGACCGCCAACACATAAAACCGGGTAAAAAATCTCCTAACCCAGAAAAAGGTATGAGGCACTTACGAGTTCCGTGATTTTAGCACGGCCGCTTAACAATTAATACTTGGCTTAATTATATGAATTAATACTTGTTTAAAACCTCTTATGCGTTACCGCTTCTGTACCGCTTTTAATTATATGTTTTAAATAATTATGGAGTTAATTTGAATCAAGTCACGATGTCGTGCACTTGTTGTTTTAGGCACATCGCAAATCGCACCACATGAAACGCACTCGTGATTTACAACATGCTTATTATCAATATTATTAGTAAGGACCAAGTCACGTGAGTGCGCCCTTGAATTTAGATTTATATATCATAGTTATTCCACGGGAAGCGTACCTATAACCATGATAATTAAATTATTAATATGCACCTAAAGCAACTAATATGTGTAATCTTATTAGAGTTATTTCCTTAAAGCTAGTTTGAGATTATTGTAAGGCCAAAAGTTTATGGAAATTATTTTGGGAGAGGTATAGATTTTTATTTCATTATTATCTCGGCTTTGGGATCAACTTGTATTCGAGCCCGAGCCAAAATCCTTGTTGTGACTTATCAGATTTAAAAGCCCAAAATCACATTAATCTCACATTAAAATCATTCTAATACACCACAGTTTGTTCAACTTAAGATTTCATTTTTTCAGATTTATATTGGATAACTGACTAACTTTAAACTTAATATCAATATCTTCTTTCGTGAAACAAGAAATCAAAATAATAGAAACATGTAACAGAACATCAACTAAGGAATAAAATGCTAACATAAACATTATTGAGAAAATGAATTTCCTTTAAAGCATTGACTTATTTTCTTTCCTAGTCTAACGTAGATTTATCAAATTATATTCACCTAACAACATGGATGAGAAGCTCACGTTTTAGTTACTAGGAAAATTGATTTCAACCAAACAAATAGAAATGTACGCGGTGAAATTAGAGGGCCCGATTTCCCGTCATCAAGCCATCTCGGGGAGATACATCGAGACCCCGAGGACATGGAGCCATCTCGGGAAGATATATAAAGACAAAGGGGGAAAGCCCCCAGAACATGCGGTTGAGTCTGACAGGGCCAGCCTATCCCTAGCCTATGCTGGGGTGTCGAGTCAAGCCATCACATCTTCATATTTCATGAATTAAATATACATGTACTCCGAGTATCCTCTCCTATATAAAGGAAACTCGCCCTACCTTGTAAGGAACTGATGTTGCTCCCACAAATTCTACAAAGTGCAATAATCTCTCTCTCTCTCTCTCTCTCTCTCTCTCTCTCTCTCTCTCTCTCTCTCTCTCTCTCTCTCTCTTCTCTTACTAATACTTATTGGCTCTCACTGGTACTGNTGACAGTAGACATTAAAGTCTTTTTCATTTGTCTTGAGTATTTCGGTGGAGCAGGAGGGGAAGGGGTTGTAAGTTACCGAATTTTCAAATATTTTTTGAGACACATTATTCTCTCCGATATCGTATAGAGCTATTGTTTTCTTGCTTCCTAGTAAGTGTGTTTAAAGTCATTAGCTGTTTATTTGATTTATATCCTATTTGGCTTTGTTTCACCGGTAATAGCTATTTACTGACTAATCTTCTGATTTTGCTTCTTGCATTTAGATTTTTCAAACTCCTGAAGGGTTGCTTTCTACTGAACAAGGTGTTTACATTGCTGAATCTGTTGCAACTAAGAACACAAAACAACCAAAAGGGCGTTTTAGGCTTTACGATAATAGTGATGGCCCTGTGAGCATACAATCTATCTTTCCCAAGTCCAGAATTAGCTATCTTCTGTATTTACTTCTCTTAAGGAAGAGATTTCTTTTGCATACAGGACCAAATGAATTCTAATCATACTGTAAGGCGTGAGCCCTCTAGCAAAGAGGTTACTGGAGTGGCGAAAAAAGATGGTGGAAAATCATCAAAGAAAGCTGGTACCTTTTTGATATTTTCTGTTTCTGTTGAACTTATTTTAATTATAGTAGATATTTTTGTTAATCAACTATTCCATTGTGATATTTTATTTCTTTTAGATAATAAAGATAAGGGAAAAAGTGCAAAGGAAGAGGCACGGGAGGTGCAGCTAAGGGAGGAAGCATGTATACGTGAAAAGGTCATGGTTGTAAAAGAGAATCTTTCTTCAATGTTGAAAGCTCTGGGAGAAATGGCCATAGCTAATCCTGTTTTCACTCACAGTCAGTTACCTTCCTTGGTTAGTGTGCTCTATGCTCTCCGCTATCCAACATAATATCGTCTGTACGTTAAGAAGGTATCATCTAATATATATTCTACTCAACCAAACCCCCATCCATAAAATAAAGGCCTATGTTCCTAAGGAAAAATGTAAGAAATATCAGTGGTGTGGAAATTTCAACTATTCTCTCCAGTTCGATCACTATGAGTCTGTGACTGTCCAAAGGGGAATATTTGGATATGATTTCTGCTGGTCTTATTATTATGGTAAATCATATAATGAGGAATGAGCATCTTAGAGTATCTTTTCATTGTTCCTTTTATGTCGTGCAAAAATGTTGCTACTAAATGGTAACAGTTTGATGCAACTTTCTGTCGGTTAGTTAAAGAAGAAAACGCTTGCACTGGTCGGTCAGCAAAGAGGACCACAAGTGGGTCTTTTGAGGAAATCTGTACTACAAGTGCAAGTAGAGCTAAGTTTGGTTTGTCTCTAAAGTTGAATTTTATCAGAGCTCTAAGGAGGGTGGGTTTTTCTAAGAAAAGCACCAACTCTTTCTTAACCTATTGAGGCATACTTTGAAGTTCAGACTTCAGACATAATAGATTTTGATGGCCCTCAGTAAAAACATCAATTGTCATATTTCCAGCTGGTGGTTGAACACCTACCTGATATTGCTTGATTTATTTAATATTAATGAACATATGGGCCAATTAGACAAGTGAAATATTATTCTTGCATTTAAAATATGCAAAACTGTACATAGTTAAGCTGCATAAAGCAATCATGCTTGCAAGACAACTTGCAAAAGAGAGGCTACAACCCAGTTAGTTCTATCCATGCTAAAGAGAGATGGAAGTAACTGCGGCATATTCGTGCAGTGCAAGGTGAGAGCTAAACTCTGCGATATGCTTATTAATATGCTAAACTTGAAATGGGCAATGATATAATCTCAAGAGCTACTATTTTGATGGAATACAGAAGTTACCACCACGAAGAAAAGAAGGATGTGGAACAAAATCCCTGCATGCATATGCTGGATAATTTGGAAGGAGAGAAACTGGAGTCAGGTGTTCCGAAATAGAGCAACAGCCCATCAGTAAAATCATGATTGACTGCATAATTTTTATAAAACGGAACTAATAGAGAACAGAAAAGCTATGAGAGTTCATCTGTGTTGTATAAGACTAGGAAGTTTTCCTTTTGTCCTCATGTAAATATCCACGCGCCCAGAACCTTGCAGACTATGTAGGTTAGTATATAAGGAAGTTCAGTGCAATCTTTTGCTGCAGAGCACTTTCTTGGTGCTGCTTATTAAGCTTTACTTTGTCCGATAAACATCTATATAGTTAAGCTGGAAAATAGATGTTGATTGTTGTACAAGGGGAAGCGAAATTAGGAACACTAATTTAGCTATGGGGTGTTGAGCCGGATAGTAAACATTTCTTTCATCTTTGTTGAGTTTATCCGACTTCAACTATCGGAGCAGCTCATTTGACCCTGTTCTACCCTGATTCTCTTTTGGTAGATTGGTATCTTTGTGTTTTCGTGAACTCAAGTTAGAGACTTTACCCTAACTAATAGTTATCTTCTGGATTTTATCTGTCTTATCAAAATGATATAATTCCACGTGCCTATAATGCCAATAGAAAAGAAATCTGGGCCGGTGTGTAACTTTTCTTGTGTATAGGAGTTGTACTTTTGAGGGTCATACCCTTGTATGTTGCTGTCTTTAACTCTTTTGTTTGATCTGATCTTTAGGTGAAGTTTACCAATCCTCTACTACGGTCACCAATAGTTGGTGATGTAGCGTATGGAACGCTGGTGAAGCTTTCGAAGTGTACTGCTGCTCCTCTTTGTAACTGGGCTCTTGAAATTGCAACAGCATTAAGGTTAATTATGTCAGAGGATGTTAATGTCTTATGGGGTCAAATTCCTTCTGCTGGTGAGGAGGTATCAAATGAAAGGCCTGGTCTCTTTGAGCGTGTGACAAATGGCTTATCCGTCTCTTGCAAAACTGGTTCTATCCCTGTGGATTCGTTTACTTTTGTTTTCCCTGTAAGTTTTTGATCTGATCATGTATAGCATACTCCGATAACTATACTTTTCTGGTGGTAGTTATTCTTTCCTTGACATTGACATTCTCTGATATATATTTTTTTAATTTTTCCTTTTTGTTGCATGCCTAGATAATGGAGAGAATATTGTTATCTCCCAAGAAGACCAGACTTCATGATGATGTTCTCAAGATAATATTCTTGCATTTGGATCCGATTTTACCCCTACCTAGAGTTCAAATGCTCTCAGTTAAGATAATTATAGCTTCTTGTTGTTTATCTTCTTGATAATCATTCCTGTATCTATTTTCATGTGTTATCTTGGTGTTTTTATAGGTTCTTTACCATGTCCTGGGTGTTGTTCCTGCTTATCAAGCATCTATTGGACCGGCACTAAATGAGTTATGCCTTGGGCTGCGATCAGCTGAAGTGGCATCTGTATGTGGTGTGGTTATGATTTCTTCTGTGAGTTTCCACATAAGACTCATGATCTCTTGTGTTTCATGCTCTTTGCAGGCTCTATCTGGTGTTTATGCTAAAGATATCCATGTAAGGATGGCTTGCTTAAATGCTGTGAAATGCATTCCTGCTGTGTCTCGTCGTTCTGTCCCTCAAAGTAGTGAAATTGCCACCCGCATCTGGCTTGCTTTACATGATCCTGAAAAGGTATTACACATTCTTGCAAAAGTTTCTTTTCTAGTGATAATTGCTCTAACTCTAGATTTTTAGTTCCTTAAATATTAATAAGATATGTTGTTCAGATCTGCACAATGACCCACCCGTAAAGCATTTTACTTTGGTCAAGTATAGTTCCAGCACATATGTTAAGTGTCTATTTTTATTATGGTTACACTAGTGTCTAATATATAGGGGAAGCAATGAACACTGCCATCAAGTACAATATGTTTTCAAATATCAGTAGTAATAAAAATTCAAGATTTCACGTTAGAAAAGAGTTTAGACTTTTAGTCTAGCTTAACATTCCACATCATTAATGAGCTTCAATATGTGCTTGCCAAGGGCAGGAGGCAACTGGATTTACTTCCTTTCTCTTCTGTTTTCCAGAAAGCTGTTTCGGTTCTCCTTGTGAGTTTCGGATTATTAATTTTATCATTTATTCTTGTGACATAAAACATCCCTCGTCCACCTTTCAAATTGTTAAACAGCTCCCGCATCATTTAATTGGGGGAATATGTGGCAGGTATGTTGTCCTTTCTAGTGTCCGGTTGAAGGACTTGAAAGTCCAATTTACAAAACATAAACTAGTAAAACAAAGAAATTAGAAGAGATATGAGTACTCTACGAAACGTTCTCCAACTTGTGTTGCAGTGCAAAACCAACATGGAGCTAAATATATTGGGTTCGGTTTTTCATGGTATTGGTCCTATGGTTTGGTTCCTCCTGTTACCTGTCAGTTTGAAGAAATTGAGCATTTACCTGACTAACAATATCTTCCTGCCCACATTATACAGTCCCACACTTCCTGTTAGTTGAAAGTGACAAAAAGCAATGATTTGAACTTAGGTAAATCTTAGGACCTTAATAACTTCGTATCTGAACAGTCTGGTCTTATGATATTTGCTGAATTAGTTAATCGACTATAAGTTTGAGTATCTTAAGTTAGGTTGTCTATGTAGCAGCAATCCAGACATTCGTTTCAAAATTTTGGTACTAATTGTTGTTCTGATTCAATGTTTTTATTCTCTGTCCAAAATGTTATCGTGACAGTATGAACTTTATGTGTTCTCTATTCAGTGTGTTGCCGAAGCTGCTGAAGACATCTGGGATCATTACGGATATGACTTAGGGACGGACTACTCAGGCATCTTCAAAGCTCTTTCCCATGTTAATTATAATGTGCGAGTGGCTGCTGCTGAGGCCTTGGCTGCTGCTTTAGATGAAAGTCCAGATACGATACAGGTTTATTTAGCTTCTATATTCTGTTTACTGCAAATGTATTGAAAGTTCTCACTGACAATTTTGGAATGATAAACAATGCTTTCAGGAATGTCTTTCAACGTTATTTTCTTTGTACATCCGTGATGTTGGTTCTGGTGAAGACACCATCGATTTTGGCTGGATAGGCAGACAAGGAATAGCATTGGCTTTACTTTCTGTGGCAGATGTTCTTAGAGCAAAGGACCTTCCTGTTGTTATGACATTCCTAATTTCAAGGGCACTGGTACTAATTTCTTTTTTCTGAATAAAAGGTGTTGTTAGTTATGTCTAAGTTTTAATATATCATACTAGATGATAAAACCTAAGATCTGCAAATTTGCTTTTCGTTAAAACCTAAGATCTGCATTTTTTCTTTTCTCTCTCTCTCTCTCTCTCTCTCTCTCTCTTTCTCTTTTCTTACTAAAGGCTTATTGGCTCTCACTGGTACTGAGGATACCTTGATATCCTTTGCCTCTATACGTGTTCTTCATTTTATAAGTGTTCTTCATCGAACAAACTCAATTTCGGTTATAAATAGCTGCGTTTGATTATATTTCTAGCTGTTAGATTACTCCCGAGTATCCCCAACTACCCGAGCTCGACCTCGAGGTCGACCTCGAGGTCCCAATTGAACAAGCTTACGCTCAGGCAGCAGACTCTTTGGTTCGCCCGTTATCTCGTTTATCTTCCGCCCCATCGTTAAAATTCATAATACTAGCACCATCTGCTCTAACAAACTAGCTTGGGAATAGATCACTTATTTTTAGAGTCTCATTTAATAAATTTAATTGTTATTACCATTTTCATGGTAAACAGTTTGGCGCCCACCGTGGGGATAAAAATAATAGTGATTATTTTCTTGCTAGTTTCATCACGCAAACACATGTCATTTTTCACACTTTTTCTTGTCCAAGATCCTTTGATTTCATGTAAAAATGTCTGGCTTGGTGAACAGATCTGAGAACGACCGCCTCGAAGATCACGGGGAAAATGGTGTAGCTATCACGGCCGCCGGAGCATCACTCCAGGATCCCGATAACGCACCCGGACCAATACTAGCGGACGCAAACTCACAGGACACACAGCAAGTCAATGAAACTTCTCACGCCAACAGAAGCGTGTGACACAGCAACCGACAGGAAGTTCAAAAAACCCCGGCCCGGGAAGAACAGGAAGTTAGTCTTCAGGTTATTTTTGAAATGTTGCAGGCACAACAACTAGCCATTGCTCAGTTGTAAAGCCATCCGAGGACTCCTAGCACACCAGCACCGGAGACAGCTCCCCCCGCTGAGCAAATACACGAAAGATCAAATGATATCGGGTCAATGGCTGACCCCACCATAGTGAAGATGCTGGAGGTCCTTACCAAAAGGATCGAATCGGGTGAAAAAATGATTGCGGCCAATGATAAAAAAGTCGAGACGTACAACTCTCGAGTGGACCATATCCCGGGAGCACCCCCGATCCTAATGGTCTGGATTCGAGGAAATTTGTACAGAGGATGTTCCCCGAGGAAGCGGCCCTGAAGCCCATTCCCAAAAAATTCAGGATGCCAGAACTCCCCAAATACAACGGCACCACCGATCCCAACGAGCACGTCACCCGCCTATACATGCGCTGTAAAAGGCAACGATATAAAAAATGACAAAATCGAGTCCGTATTGCTGAAAAAATTCAGAGAAACACTTTCGAAGGGGCCCATGATGTGGTATCACAACTTGGCTCCCGACTCCATAGATTCATTCGCCATGCTAGCAGATTCCTTCGTAAAGGCGCATGCGGGAGCCATCAAGGTAGCAACGAGGAAGTCCGACGTTTTCAAGATCAAACAAAGAGAGAATGAGATGCTACGGGAATTCGTGTCCCACTTCCAAATGGAACGAATGGAACTGCCACCCGTCTCCGACGACTGGGCGGTATAGGCCTTCACCCAAGGCCTGAACGAACGAAGCTCGGTGGCCTCAAAGCAGCTGAAGCAGAACCTGATCGAATACCCGACCGTGACTTTGTCGGACGTCCACAAATGGTACCAATCAAAGATCAGGGCCGAGGACGACCAACTGGGGGGCCCTTTGGGCTCAGTATACTCGAGCAGACTCCCGATAAAAGAAGCGAGACCAAGCAAAGAAAGGTACCAGCCATACCTCGAAGACAGGAGGAACGTCCCAAGACGCAACCTACCTCGCAACGATCGAAGGATGGATCGAGGACAGGACCCTCGAGGACTCACCAACAGAACAAGGTTCGATCGAAATGTGGCACCAGCTAATGCGCCCCACTTATCAGAATACAACTTCTGCGTCGATGTTTCAGACATCCTGTTCGCTATCAGCAAGATCAGGGACGCCAAGTGGCCCAAAACGATACAGACAGACTCTTTGCAGAGAAACTACAACTTAGTATGTGAGTTTCACAACACGCACGGTCACAAGACAGAGGACTGCCATCAGCTACGAGAGGAGGTGGCTCCACTACTCAACAAAGGTCATCTCCGGGAATTTCTCATCGATTGGGCCAAAAATAAATTCAGAGAGAGGGAGGAGATCAAGAAAAATGAGGCGAACGAACCACGACATTTCATCCACATGATCATGCGGGGCGCCGATGCCCCGCAAGAACCGGTAGTGAGAAAAACAAAGATATCCATCACCAGGGAATAATGGACTCGAGGATATATCCCAGAAGACGTCCGCACGTTCAGTGAGGAAGATACCGAGGCCCTATCCTAACCCCACAACGACGCCCTGGTAATCTTCTTTATTATAAATTCATTTTAGATAAAACGGGTACTCGTGGATCCGGGTAGTTCGGCCAATATCATCAGGGCGAAGGTAATAGAATGACTCGGGCTGCTTGAACGAATCGTACTCGCCACTCGGGTCCTCAACAGTTTCAACATGGCTAGCGAAACAACGAAGGGAGAAATCATCCTCGCGGTTACCGTTGCCGGAACAACCCAAGACGCCAAGTTCCATGTCATCGAGGGAGATATGAGGTACAATGCCTTATTCGGACGACCCTGGATACACTGCATGAGGGTAGTACCATCCACCCTCCATTAGGTGATAAAATTCCCGACAAAGGACGGGAACAAGACCGTATACGGGGAACAGCACACGGCAAGGGAAATGTTCGCTATACACGACGTAGTGCCAACACTCACACTTCCACCCCCCAAATGAAATCACGAGCAGGCCAGGTCTCGCCACCGATCAAACTTGACAAAGCAAAGGGAAGAATTCGCACCGCATCTCCGCCCCAGGAAGTTATAATAGGCCTTAGTCCCAAGACGTCGCCTGCGCACGTAACTCTGAGGTACAACCATTCCTTTTCTTATGTTATTTTTTCAAATCCGAGATTAACCCTTGCGCAGACACCCAAATCGGAAGCTGCCCCGATGTTAGTACTACTGCGGAACCCGAAGCCCCAATGGCGCACCCGTTGCACTGTTTTCCTTTGACCGAGTTTTTATCTTAGAAAGAAAGGGTTTTACCGGCAAGTTTTTAACGAGGCAACGTCTGCAAGCCACAAGGAGGGGAACTTCGCAAGATTTTCAGAACAAACCCAGTGGCCGTTAGAAAAGCGAGAAGGCATTACCCCCAAAAAAGCGGCCCGCTCGTGGGAATTTCGGAAAACACCAGACAAGGTTTCCTGTAAGAAAAATGATGCATTGGAACTCCGGTGTATTCAAGCCTCGTCGGCAAAAATGTGTACTATTGTATCAAACAAATCAAAAAATACTTTTTGGAGGAGGGAACTCCTTCCCAGAGTAAAGCAACAAATCATTCCCCTGAAACATCCCGAAAAACGCAGGAACAGGTGCCAACAGTTCAAAACGCCCCAAACGGCCTCCGGGTCGAGGCTATGAGACCGCAATGTCTTTCAGGCGAGATAAACCCGCAGGCGATCAGCCCTGACCCGATATAGGTCAGGCCAATACAACAAGGTATATTGCGCCAACGGATCAAAGGACGCTTTCCAACATTTCGTCCCCCGAACGGAGAAATCACAGCACATTCCCGGCAGGGATCTCTTCACCAAGTGCATCTCGGAATACTCGGAAACTTAATTCCTGCAATATGGCACTCGCACAGCTCCAGGACCGGGACTCCGGGCTCATAAAGCCCCGAAAACATAGCTCCGAGTTCACAAGAAGCGATCTTCACGCTTAAACAACTTGAGACATAGAGACTGACGACAATCGCCATACTACATCGCCGAAAAATTTGTAAGACCTCAATAGGCGTGACAAACTGTAAGACCTCAATAGGCATGACAAACTGTAAGACCTCAACAGGCATGAAAATCCCGAAGTTTAGGCTACATGTCGCATTTGTAAGAATCCCGAAAGGGCATACACTCGATGTAGATGCCTAAACTATCACTCGGGATCAAAAATGGCTACGGCCAAACGCACATGACTATGGTCAAAACGGTTGATACATCCAAAATAACACGACTCGGGGACGCCCGACCCTCGCTAAACAAAAACCGCAGGCCACTACTTCGAATATACTTCGGAAAGAACTGGTTAAAACAGGCTTCCCTCAACAGGCAAACAACGGGCTATGAACCTTCCGATGTGCTCAAAATATCACCGATTACGATATGAAATCGAGGTTTTTCTAGAACCGACGATGGGTCAGGAAAAAATCTTTCAAAGACCTTAACGAGCGGAAAAAAAAGCCTACAAAGTCCCACGGGCAAAAACAGCGTAAGAGACATTGTGGCCAGCTAAGCAAGCCTACAGGCCACATATCAGATGGTCTATACGACCAAAAAGCGTAAGAGCCATTGTCGCCAGCCAAATTGACAACTTGAGGATTAAAGTGAGCTCGAATCGTAACTCGATTCGGAGACCGGATCTAAAATAGTTAACTAAACAAGCCTACGAGCCACATGTTTCTACGACCAAAAAAGTGTAACAGCCCTTGTCGCCAACCAAAACTAATAGCTTAAGGGTCAATTAAAGCTCGAATCGGAATGCGACTCGGAGACTGGACACTAAATAAAGTTAAAACGACCAAACGCCCAAAGGCGAGAAATAAAAGCCACCGTCGCCAACCCGGACGAGCGCCAATCTCGAGGGAAAATTAAGCTTGAGTCGGATCCCGACTCGAAGACTAAACCCGGCAACGAGCAAAGCATACAAGCCTTAGGGAAAGTCCGGGATCGAATCGACCCAATTGAAATTCCAACAAACGGAAATACAAAGAATATAAGTTGCGGGGTTCCCCCTCTTATTGCTACGTGATGACGACAAGG